AGAGGAAGGAAACGAATCTCTTCCTTGGCGCCTTTATACCCTTGCCAACGCTATTCCCGGCTCCTCGTTTCCCGCGCCCACTATCTCGCCCCCTCGTTTCTCGCGCCCACGCCTCCACTAATCCCACTCGCCCGTTTGCGGCGCACGAGGCGGATGTGCGGCCGTGGCAGTCGAGATAGGGCATATCGTGCGTGCGTTAACTACGCTCGCCGACCGAAGCGCCATCATCATATCTCCAGGCGAAATGAACCGGCTCTTCCCGATTCGCGCGCTACTCGAGAAATGTAGCGGTCTTGAAGAGGCCACTCATTATTATCGGTCGTTTTTTCCTAGCCGATGCGCACGATTTGCGACCGCTGGGTTCCTGCCCGCCTGTAGAGACCGGTCCCACCTGTCACCAGACCTAAGGAGTGGCGTCACGCCCGAGCGCTTCCCTCGAGGGGGGCGATCGCCCTGGCATAACGCCGGGGGCTACTGTCGGTGACATGGGATCGGGGGTATCATGACTAGAGGCTTGGGCAGCCGCGGTCACCCACGTGGCCTGACCCCCTCGGGGGGGTCGGGCCCGAGGGAGACGTGGCCACCCCCTCCTCTGTCTCCCCGAGGGGTCGGGCCGCTCCTGTTTCGGCCCCGAGGGCTGGGGCGCCCCGACCCCCTGTGGTATTGGCGCCACGTGTGTGGGTTAGGTGGGCACAGCGGCGCTCACCTAACCGCATTTATTGCGGGATGGACAAGCGCGCCACGCCGCATTTAATGCAGCACGGCGCACGCATATCCGGTCCGTGACCGGTCGCAGTGTGTGACCGGTCACAGACCGGTCGGATCGCGGGTTAGGTGGCAGCAGGCGGCCTGTCACACGCCTCGCCCCGTCCCGTCGGAATGATGAGAGCCTCTTGGCACTCGTCCCTAGCTGGAGCCGGCGTGGTAACTCCTGGAGTTAGCACGTCAGTCCCGGCTCGATTCATGCCAGGCTTCATCGCAACCATTGCAAGGAAGTCACTGTTTGAAGAAGGGCAGATGTGCGGCATGCTAAACTGACGCGTGGTGGAGAAGAATGACCGGTCTGTGACTGGACTGACGCCGGTCACGTCATCGGCAGACAACCGTGCTCCCACGTTGCATCTGTTTCCGGCGGAGTGGAGGTAGGTATGACCCATCCCATCGGAGGGTCATTCAGACAGCAGCCATTGCAGATCTCCGCCCATTAATGAAGAGATGACAGGGTGATCCCCTGTGTCCGACGAGTGACGGCGCTGGGCATCACTCAAGGACAAGCGGTGATTTAGCTTCCAGGCGGAGGCGCGAGTCAAGATTTGGTCAAGATAGGGTGGGTCCCCACCCAAAAGAAGAGTAGGTAGAAGTGGTGCATGTGGTATCCCCTTGAAATATAAAAGGAGGACCTTGCCCACAAAGGAAGGGGGACGACTCTGAGAAGAGAAGGAAAAAAGAGGGGTTCTAGAGCTTGAACTCTCTTGCTCTCCGGCTCTCTGTAACTCTTTCTCACACATATCCACCAGAACACAGGAGTAGGGTATTACGCTTCTCAGCGGCCCGAACCTGTCTACATCGCCCGTGTCTCGTGCGTTTGCTCTCTCGCGTACATTCCACAGATCGAGGGTGAAGAACCTCACTCAGCGCCCCCGGCCGAACCGGCAAAGGGGGGCCTGCGCTGTCTCCCGGTGAGGAGCCCCACGCTCCGTCAAATTACTACTCTAATACTTGTACAAGAACTTCCTTCTTTATCTAGAGTCCTAGTACTAGAGCACTTAGTATAAATACTAAACAATGAACCCGTAAAGATGAAAATCTATCTTACTTAAACAAAGTAATTAAATAACATAAGAAAGGAACACTTATAGAAGTTCTCCGAACCCGGAGCAGAGTGTACCGACAGCTCCGGTACTCCTCCCGAATTCCTCCTAGGAAGCTACACTCGTCGAGGTAGAAGACGGATGAGCGCCAAACTTCCGGGCACTCCTCCAGAGCTTCCCCTCACTCTCTACCTTATTCTAATGTACAAAAGATACAATAGAGCCTCTTGTAATTCAGCTCAAAGTTGTATGTCGGAAATGATAGTGAACTCCTCCTTATATAGGCTCCAAATGATGGTTGGAGGCATGGGAAATTACCAAAATACCCTGCAACCGCCTTTGGGAAGGAATCCAAGCCATCCACGTGGAAGCAGATGGCGAGAAGCGGCAGGAAAGGTTCGGCCGAACCCAAAAACACTCCTCCTGGCCTCTCCTTCGGCTAGGAGGTTGCTTAATTGGCCCCCAACAACTTGGGCTATGTTTTGGCCCAATTCTAAATGGTTTTTATTGACTTATTGGGGCTCCAATCCGTGTAAACGCGTCCTGAATGCGGGGAGGTGCATTTTGTCACATGACATATGTGTTTTCTCCTCAAATTACCTGCATACACATATTTCACCAACACTAGTGGAAATGATTAGTAATAAACCCTACCACTAAGTTGGATACCATATTTTATTTCATTATATGCAAGTATTGACGGTCAAATATTATGATTTAAGGACCGTCAACACTCAACCAGTCATACCAACAGGAAGGTATGATGCAAGGGTATTCTCAAAGGAATGGCTCATTGGATATTTGCAATAAAAGCAGGATTTATAAATCATTTGAATAAGTAAAAGCATTATTAAATCATCACTGTTCAACGCTAAAACCACGTTGCAACAGGCCCAACCAAACCATCTGAACTACACCAGTTCTATAGGTCAAATTGTTATAGTGGGACTAATCATGGTGAGCTGGTTGACCGCCCAATAACCGCGGGCATGGCTATTCGAATAATTTTAACTCTTATCAGAGGTGTACAACTTAACCAACAAGACACGATTCCACACATGTTACCATGCCCCAAAGTACCGCCACGATACTGCAAAGAGGGAAATCGTGACAAAACCCGTCATATAACTCTCCCTAACCAAACATACCCACCTCAGGTTTCACCCCCTCCTTATTCCAAGTCGGGCAATCCCTCTTGTGCCTAGGTAAATCCGGCTACAACAGAGACCAATATCCAGGTCCAAACTGCACCATCGCCTCTACCCTTGCCATGGAATGTCAGCTAGGTTAAGCTATACTCTAGATTTAGCCTGGAGCCCACACTAGCCTATGGTAGGATTCCCAAGAACTGGTCCTTAATTGTCATGGGCACGACTTCCAAAATCATGTATGTACCCACAACCCAACATTAAAGCATATTTTAGTTTAATTAAACCATAACCATGGTGGTACATCATAATATAATTAAGGACTAAATTATAATGAATCCCATTGTGAGCTAATAGATCTAAGCATGGGTAAGCATTCCTAAACCAAGAATCCAATCAATTATAACCCAAGTTATCAACGGCATAAGATATTCAACAGGCTGAGTACGATAGGCATCCATCCCACATGACATTCTAAAGCAATGCAAGTTGATAGAAAGCAGGAGATTTTATAAAATAGGCTTCACATGATCAATGATGTATGTATAACTTGCCTTGCTCTTGAGCTGACTGAACCATGGCGACCAATTCGAAGTAAACGTGATCACCAGAATTGCCGAAATCTAAATGACAAACAAAGCACAGAAGAAATACAAGCAATAAGGCTACCGAAACAACAAAAGAAACCGATTTTATGGATTCTATACATTTTAATGGATTCACTGCAATTTGAATGGGTTAAAACGGAGCTCGGATTATTTAGTTATGAATTTTACAATATGAGCTGCGTTATTACTAATAACCGAAAAACCTTAATCAATTATTACATATTATTGCCCAAAGATAAAATAGATCAATGGAAATAAACCTCCGGTAAGCAAGTCTCACGAATTAACGACTCAGCGAGCCAATCCTTCGTGACACGGGACCATGCAAACGGTCAACCAAACCGGCGAACGGAACCAGCAGCGGCGGTGCAGGGCGGCTAGGGTTTTGATGGGCTAAACAACTAGGGTTTCAACGACGACACTAAAAAGAATTAACACCCTAAACAGGAGATTACGGATAGATTCCTCACCAAACCGAGATGATCTGCGAGGAGGAGACAACAACGACGGTCCAGCGACAACACGTGGAGACGACGGCGAGGTTAGATCAAAACCTAAGACAGAGACAAATTAGAACCGGATAGATAATGGTGATAGCCATGACAAAGAGAAGGAAAATGGATTACCGGCGACGCTAGGGTGATGATGGCGACGACGGGAGGTGGCGGCACTGACCGGTGGTGGTGGGACAGCGGTGAGCATCGGCGCGGCACTAGGGCTAGGCGGCGGCAGCGGCTAGCTAGGACTAGGGACAAACAAAACAAATAGGAAAAAAAAGGGGGGGGGTTGTTCTAACTTATATAGGTGAGGAGAAAAACTAAAGGATGTGGGGCAGAGGGGAGTCGGGAGAGGGGGGAGAGGAGGAGGCTAACTCGGACTAGACAGGGAGAGGGCGGCGCGCGGCAGAGGGGAGAGGGGGAGGAAAAATAGGAAAAGGATTAGTAAAGGAACTTCCCCAAATTGGAAAAGAAATACGGTGCCGTTTTAGGAAAAGAACGGAAATAGAACCCGCGAACAAAAACAGACACGACTTGTCTTGCAAAATGGAACCGCGGACAGAGAGGTGAGTGAATTGGGCACGATTCGAGACCAAAGACGGGAGAGAAAAAATATTATAACTTCAAATCTTATGAATTTACATTAACAACGTTAATTCCGATGCTCTGGATATTCCTCTTTAAGTCATGTTAATGATTTCAGAGCAAAGAGAATTAAAAAAAAATTCTCCTTGATAATTCCGATTATTAGACACATTGTTAATTTGTATTTTCTCCTAGTTAACCAAAACAATTTCTATAGACAATTTATTAGTGAATTAGAAACTACGGAAAAGGAAACTCCCGGTGTGACATCGATGCCACGTTTGCAGCCGGGCCCACCAAAATGAAGTCCACGCGTCCAACTGAAGCAACGTGTTCTTGGGCGATATCGAAGCCGCGCGCAACTAGGAGAAAGGGTGGTGGGTGCGCTGTGGGACGAATGGCTTCTCCCTCGTTCCCAGGCGCGTGCACCGACCTCCGCATCCCGGATTCGCCCTCTCCCGTGCCCTCGCCCTCGCCATCACCCTCTTTCCCGCGCCCCCGCTCGCCCTCCTGCGCACTCGCTGCATTCTATTTCCCCTACCCGCGCCCGCAGTCGCCCTCCCACGCGTGCCATAATTTTGCCCCCCTCCCGTGCTCGCCCTCGGTCACAAACTCACCATTGCCCTCCCTCTCGCAGCAACCGGCCTCTTCGCCCATCGCCGGGGTACTCGCTGCGGACGGAGGTACGTCGGTGTGGAACCCTAAATCATTTGGTCGAATTGATTCTTCAATTTTTGATTTTTTTTCCCCTCTCAACGTGATGTAAACCCTAGGTTGCGATGGATCCAAGCATGGCTGCTGCATTCGCTCATTTTTTGCAAGGTCCGAACTTAGTGGCTAGTTTATCTCAATCTGCCAGCCAGCCTTCTCCTTTCCCCTCACACCCGGTGATCCCATTCCAACCTCCATCGTTTTCCCCCTTCTGTACGCAGCCGCCGGGCCCGCCAGCTCCACCTCCATCGCCCCCAAACACAGCCAAGGCAAAGCCTTCGAGCTCCAGATCTGCACGCCGTCACCGTGTGACTGCTTCCCCAGAAGCTGCTGTTGATCCTAAGAGGAAAATGTACTATCAACAGAGGAGGATATAAGGCTGGTATGTTTTTGTTTGTTTTTTTCACTTGTTGACACACAACAGAGATATTGTGATTTTCTGGTACTATTGTGATCCTGCAGGCTGCAGTAGGACATTTAGGTGCTAATTCATTCTAAAGAAGTAGATTTAGGAGGTATGTTTAGGTGCTGCACTGCCGCCTCATATAAAATGGTGGTGTCATATAAATGATTCTTACAACTATACAGGTGATGGTGTTTAAAGAAATATTCTAGGCAACAATATCTGTTTACAGAATTACTCCCTTCGTTTCAGGTTATAAAACGTTTTGACTTTAGTCAAAAGTCAAACTGCTTTAAGTTTGACCAAGTTTGTAGAAAAAAATAGTAATATTTTTAATCCAAGACAAATTTATTATGAAAATATATTCGAATATTGATTTGATAAACTAATTTAGTAATATAAACATTACTATATTTGTCTATAAACTTAGTCAAAATTGAAACAATTTGACTTTGACCAAAGTCAAAACGTCTTGTAACCTGAAATGAAGGGAGTAGATTTTAATTTATAAACTTCTTATTCCTATATGTTTTCTGGGAAAGATCAAAATTTGGGCATGTGATGTTCAGTATTTGTCCTTCCTGATTCATACAGTATTATGTAGAAAAAGCAGTTTTTAAAAGAAGTATTGCAATATTTATCTTTATTTGACGCAATTAGGTGCTTCTTGATTGTAGAGAAGTCAAATTATGAGGTATATGCGATGTATAGATGCTAATTCTTACATAAATGGTGTATAAGTGATGAATATTCTTGGAATTGAGTGAATTTTGTGTGTATATGTGATGTATAGGTGCTGATTCTTACATAAATGGTGCATAAGTGATGATTATTCTTGGATTTGAGTGAATTTTGTGTGTATACCCTTTGAACTTGGTGTGTGTAGGTTTCCTGTGTCCATGGTCTCAATTTCTCAAAGAGTTTTCCTTGTAAATAGGAGCTGATTGAATGAAAAAAATATTATTTCTGGTTGGTCCAAGAACATGCATATCAGTGACCATCTTTTTTTTTTGCGGGGAATATCAGTGACCATCTTAGTTGGTGCATGTGCCAGTTGACAACTGTTTGGATTAGGGTCCTTCTATAGTTTTAAATTATTTTACTGTTATAAACTCTTGCCATCATTGGTTCCGAGAAGTTGTTAATATGAATAGAAATTGGCCCCCAAATTAATTGGAACAACTATTGATATTTTCTCTGTTTGTCTGGGTCCACTTGCTAGCTGCCAGAGAGTATGACAAATTATTTCTAAGATTGCTTCATATGCATGCCTAGCTGGTTTCATGTTTCTTAGTGCACATTTTTTTTCCCTTTGCTCATTTTTTCTCAGTGCACATTTTTTTTCCCTTTGCTCGGAGTTACAGCACGCCATGATCCATTGGAATCGCCACCGAGGAGGACAGGAAAAGACAGAGCGCCATAATTATTGATTTTCATATATAGGTAACCAATTTGAAATGAAAGTATTTTAAACTACGAATTTAGTGATATAACATGCATAATACTTGGCATAGATATTGTTAGTATAATCAGTAGTAAAAAAAATATCAAGTTTGATTTTCCCTTAAAATAAAGGTACTCTATAATTTGGGAAGGGAGGAGTACATCACAAACATCGACTCACTAAAACATATAAATGTCTCGGATAAATCCTCAACGGTGAGTGGTGCACCTGAAAGGATTTATTTCAATCTATGTGGCATTCAGAGAAGGCTTGCAGCTTTATGAGGAACTTCTATAGCCTAGCTCTTGTCAATTCCCTTGACTCATAATCCATGACACCGGGGATGTGAGTTTCCATAAAGTACTTGTCCCAATTGATGAACTTTATATTACAGGGTATCAATTCTCGGTCTCTTTCAGTAACCATTCCCATAAGATTCTGCATTTTCGAGTCATCGAACCTACAAGAAAGGGTACAAAATGGGACCAGCTCTTGATCAAAGAAATCTTTTCTTTTTTATTTATTCTTGGAGTTACATCTACATTACCTCGTTTTGGATATTGTGAATGGCCAGTATACCTCTGCCACGGCAACAGTAAAATCATACTCTCTCTTGAGATGGTTGTAAATATGACGGTCTTCAGTGGTAGATAACCCACGGCGCAACATATCCTGCAAGCGGAAATAATGACCCACTCTGTGAGAAAGTAGCCAAAAAAACATTGTCGAAGTGAGGTTTAACAAGAACAAACTAACCTGCAAAGGCATTTTGTAGTGTTTATCCATGGTCTCGTAGAAGCTGGCCATTGTTGCTAGAAAATTCGGTTGTTTCACCTTGACTACATCTCCTTTTGCACCGACGAATGGTATCTGCGAGAAGTATTTGTACGTTGTTTGAGACATCTGGCCAAGCTTGATCGGGTTGCTCATGGAAGAACCAATCTGATAGATGAAGTCTGCTGTTCCTTGAGGATGGTAGCTGATAATACAAAGCATCGCATTGACCACAATGTCTGCAGGTACCTGCAAGGATAGATTACTCAAAAATGGTAATACATTGAGTCCATATGTATTAAATTTTACAATTATATAGGTCAAATAGATGATGGTGGTACACTAAGGCTCCATTCCTTTCCACGTTTAACTTTTGAAATTTCCTTGTTTACCGTGAGCATTTTTTCAAATTGCTAAATTGTACTACGTATTTTCATCAATTTATTTAAAAAATCAAATAAACAAATCTTTCAAGTTTGTAATAGTTAATAAATCGTACGCTAATGATATTTATGTTTCACGTGCGGCAAAAAAGTAAAAATTAAACCCGCTTTCAAACAAAGCCTAAATCCTAGTCTTGCTCTACACCAATCGATCAATTCCTTATGCCCAATAGTACAGGAAGATAGTATCTTACAATGTCTATGACTGTTGCCACATCTGTAGGAAAAAACTTCAGTGTCCCCTTACCATAGTTAGTGATCCATGTGTCAATTGCTCTGCACCAAATCCACAGGGTGTATTTCAAAGTGAGTTTGCTGTTGATTAATAATGCAAGTAATTAATTAATGGTCCTGGACAGTGATGGACTGACTTGGCTCCTTCTATCCATCCAGGAAAAGGCTCCTTCCATGTGCTTGTTGTGGCTGATGGACGGATGATAACAATTGGGAGCCGTGAGTTTTGTTCATATGCCAGCATCTCACCCATTGCTTTTGTGAACACATAGGCATTCGCCCATCCAAACTTCTTAGCTCTATTTAGTCATCATGCGACGGTTGTCTTAATAATGTTGTTCCTAATGATGTATCACATAAAAAGTACTAGAAGTCTAGCGAATAGCAATGAATAAAATTATGTGTGAAACCTTTGTGCGCCTATCTTTTTCATGGTGTGTCTTATGGTACGTTCTGAAGCATTGTTGTAAACTAGCTCCTTCAACTTTTCATCCTTAAATGCCATCTCTTCTGAAATATCTAGATCTGATCGACCATCATAACTCCTCCATTGTTGAAGCGGCTTCTCCATCATGATCCCTTGTTTCATTAGATTGACATAAGCTTGTTTCATTAGATTGACATAAGCTGAAATTTAGAAACAAATATGTCATTTAACAAGAAATCATTGTTATTGGATAAGTAGCATAGCCATAGGTAAATTTTAGGTTTCACCTGTTGACACAAGAAGAACGAGCTCTAGGTTTGTGCATTTTGATGCAAAATCTATCATATGCTTCACACCCATAGTGTTTATTGCCAACGCTGTATCATATCTGCACTTATGATTAGCGTTAATAACTTGAATAAATCTTAAAGTAACCAGTAACCTTGTTTTACCTTTCTGCGAAGTTTACTGTCGCAGCCATGTGAACAATAATATTTGTTTCTTTCCTTATATCTTCAGCCAGTCTAGCGTCTCCTATACCGAAATTCTTCAAGGACACATCTCCTGCTAGAGGAAAAACCTTGTCCCAGAACCATGAACTGAAGTGCGTTTGATACTTCTCCCGCAAGGGTTGAAATATCGGAAGTTGCATGATCTGATATGACATGTAGAAGAGAACTGAACTAGATCAGATCTTAATCAATTACTCAACAATTCAACTAACTAAATTTTTTTCTGAATAAAAGACAATATGCATGCCGTGGGGGAGAATCCATGTTGAGCTTTTACACTATATGGAGGATGGAAATTTCAATTTGCTACATTCAGTCCACGCTTCACACTAGTATATGATCCCCAATCCACATGTCTTTTTGAACACAACACTCCTGCCATGAATCAATATCACTAGCGCTTGGCTTCGGGCTCGTCGCCTTCGCTGCGGTGCGACCCGTTGTCGGCCTCGTCGTCGCCGAACGTGACGGAGGAGTTCTCGGGCATCACGGCAGAGTACTGGTCCGTGCCAGCGCCGCTGGGCGCCGCGAGGTCATCCGCGCAGTCGGCGGCAACGCAGCCGGAGGAGGTGTTACGGCAGGTGGAGAACGAAGCAGCTCGAAGGGGCATTTTGGTCAGCCCGGGTGCGAAATTGGGTGGAAATGGAGAAAATTGGTTCAAATGGCAAAATAAATGTTTAGTATCTCTTGTGCGTGGCATTTTAACGAATCCATTCGGCGGAATGATATTTTGGCGAAACCCACTCTTAGCAGTGGCATAATGTCCAATTTCTCACTGCCGCCACCACCGAGCTCAACACACCCGACAACCCTGAATGTCCTAAATCGAACTTTCCCATCAGCTTTGGATCTGGATCAGACAGAGAGGGAAATTGTGAAGAAAGAAAGGGTGGGTGAGCTTGCCCTTTCCCTCTGGAGCTCACCACTGAGGAAAAACCGCTGGCGTGGACGCCATTGATGAGCCACCGGATCCGCCGGCAAAGAAATCGCGGCTGCCGCATCCAACACCCAGAGCCTCCCCTTCGAGTCTGCGTCGGCAGCGGCGTAGCAAGGAGAGCACCGGCAATGAGGGTGCTGCGAGGACACCACCCATCCACAACATCGATCCCCTTCGAGCGGAGAATGGCAGCAGCGTAGGGAGGACACCCGACGGCGGTCACGGCACTGGGAGGACACCCAGCGGCGGCCACGGCCAAGCCAAATCCAGGCGCCGCGCAGGAGAGAGCGAGAGAGATGAGAGGGACATGGCGGCTGGGAGTTTTTTCCTTTTTTTTACGCGCCTGGGATTCTCGCGAAGGGGAGAGAGAGAGAAAGAAAAGGAAATTTTGTGAAAATACCCTTCAGTTTCCAGGATTCAGGGCGCAGTCCTTTTTTCCTCTTTTTGTCTCCTATGTATTGAATTTCGTAGGATGCGAAGGGCCTAAACGCAATATTTTAAACCGAGAAAAGAACAGAGAGGACGTATAACAAAATATCTATAAAAGAGAGGGCTTTTCTGCAAAATTTGCAGAGGCGACGCGGACGCATGTAAGGCCGTGAAATCCATCCGCTCTCCAGCGCGTGTCCACGCGTCGTGACCCCGTGATGGCCACGGCAGCGCAAAACGCTGAGGGCGCTGCATTTCCCAGTTGGTTTGAAGACTTTAGATATCGTATGGGATCCTTAGTTTTCATGACCCCACCAACAGTGCCACGATGAATCTCAGTGCAACTAGCGTTGCTACAGGGCTTCTCTTCTGTGCCATCCAATCTTTTCATCCACCTTCGATCCCCTTGTCCACGAGCATACGTTTAGCTCCAAAGCCTCCCATCTGGCCCCCGGCCTGCACTTCTCGCAATCCCCTACTCAGCATGCTGGCCACTCCATCATGTTTCCTCCTTGGTTGGTTCAAACCAATCGGGAGGCTTGCCCAAAACTCCAATCCCGTCTTGGAATAACTCTGCATGCTTACTCCAAGTTTTATTTTGCTCTGTTTTCGCTTGCAGATCTGTTTCTTGATCAAGTGCACAATTTGTTAACCAGCTGCGTTCACGTGGAGCTTGTAGCGTCGTGCATAACGTGCCCTGGATCATGTGATGGTAACATGTGGCAAAAGGACGTGGCACGCACAAGCAGCGGTAGTGCGATCAGTGCCTACCGATCGATCGAGATTCAGAAAAGCTACCGATCCACAACATCAAAACTTGCGTTTTATGTTGTTGAATTGTTCCAATCTCATGTGGTTTCTATCATTGTGCACCCCATCCCCAATTCCCGATGCTTGCACTGGGTACTCAGATTAATGGTGGCTGGTCCATGCACGAGTTCATATTCATGCATAAACAGAGCTATGTGTGCTCGAGCTTGGTGGTGGTGTGATCCAAGAAGGCGGTGGTGGTGCTGCAGGAGGTTGTCGGCTTGGGGTTGGCATGACAAACCTTGTGAACCAAGGTGGAGCTCAATAGGCTCAGGGGTTCCCAGGCACCCGGCCCAATTTAAATTTTTTGTGCTTAACCCTCCTTTTTGTCATATGGGAACCCCTCATAAGAAAGGAAAAAGTCCACTTAGACTTCCTTAATTGTTCACCGAATCTAATTCGTTACCCTTAACTATAAAATCAGGTAGGACGACTCCCTGAATTATTGAAACTAGTGTAATTTGACTCCTCCAGCGGTTTTGGAGGGTGGTTTTGCTCACGTGGTGCTGACGTGGCGAGCGGGAAGAAGCAGCCGCTGCAGGGGCTGGACCACCGGGTGATGGTGGCGCTGGTCAAGATGGTCGCCGCCAACTTGTTCCTACCTCTGGGCAATGCCGCCGTCCGCCTACCCGTCGTCGCTCCCGCCGCCGTCCGACGTGCTCGACGACGAGGTCCCCGTGATGGTGCTGCTCCCGTGGATCGTGCACTGGTGGAGAAACCATCTTTCGTCGGTCGGCCGATTTCCACAATAGTCCCGGATGCAATAAAAACCGGGGCTAAAGATGATCTTTAGTCCCGGTTCAAAAGGGAAACGGGCATATTTGATCTTTAGTCCCGGTTTGTGTTACCAACCGGGACTAAACATCATCTTTAGTCCCGGTTCGAATGCTGTCAGGACCTGTCAGGCCCCCCCGGGATCTTTAGCCCCGGTTGGTAACACCAACCGGGACTAAAGATCTTAACTTTAGTCCCGGTTGGTATTACCAACCGGGACTAAAGATCCCGGTGATCTTTAGCCCCGGTTGGTGCTACCAACCGGGACTAAAGTCCCACCCCTATATATATGTCTTCTTCCTCCTCCAGCTGCCCGAGCAAGCTTCAAAATTACTTCAAAAAAGAGGGGAGGTCATGCCAAAATTTCTATTGAATTTATTTTGGTGATTACATACAAATCGGAGGTGCCTAAAAGGTTTGCAACTTCATCCTCCAATGTTTTTTTTGTCATACTACATTTGCACCTATGTTTTGCACACTTTTTTTTGTCTCCAAAATTTAGTTGTAAGTTGATGAGAGAGAAAATGTGTGTGGGGAAGAAAGAATATATAGAAATTTAGTTCATTTGCTAAACAAGGTTTTATAAAATAGTTGAGAAGGAAAACTCTAGTGAAAGTTAATCTTAAATAATAGAAAACAAACTAAAATGAAAATTAAAAGAAGTAAAACACATTAAAATTAGTTTAAAACTTTACAAATAGTTTTTAAGAATTATTTGGTGTAATATTTTATGATTTTTGTATGAATAAAGATATCTTATAATTATTGTATGACTGTCATTATTGTAAGAATAATTATTTGTGTGCGGTTTTTTTGACTCATGTAGATGGATCGGAAATGGATGTACGCTGACCGGCGGTCCAAAGAGTTTATTGACGGCGTGCACTATTTTTTGAGAGTGGCCGAAGCTAACAGGCAAAGGGGTTTTATTTGTTGTCCATGCAATAAGTGTAAGAATCAGAAGGAGTATTCTGCATCCAGGACTATTCATTTCCACTTGTTTGAGTCGGGGTTCATGCCAAGCTATAATTGTTGGACATCCCACGGAGAGCAAGGTGTTGAAATGGAAGAAGATGAAGTGGAAGACGACAATATTCCGGACTTTGCTCAGTATGTTGGATTTGAAGGAAATCAAACGGGCGAGGAGGAAATAGCTGCTGATGGTAACGACGTTGCGGATGATCTTGGTCAGATGTTGCAGGACGCTAGGGAGGACTGCGAAAGTGAAAAGGAGGCCCATAAATTGGACAAGATGTTGGAGGACCACAGAACTTCGTTGTACCCAGGTTGCGAGCAGGGGCACAAAAAGTTGGATACCACTCTGGAGTTGTTGCAATGGAAGGCAAAAAATGGGGTTAGTGACAAGGCATTTGGCGATTTATTGAAACTCATTAAGAACATTCTTCCGGTGGGAAACAAATTGCCCGAGACAACGTACGAGGCTAAGAAGATAGTCTGCCCGTTAGGACTGGAAGTTCATAAGATTCACGCATGTCCGAACGATTGTATCCTATATCGCGGTGAGGAGTATGAGAACCTAGAAGCATGCCCTGTTTGCAAAGCACTACGATACAAGATTAGACGGGACGATCCAGGAGAAGTTGACGGGCAGCTAACAAAGAAGAGAATTCCTGCTAAGGTGATGTGGTATTTCCCTATAATACCACGGCTAAGGCGTTTGTTCAGGAACAAGGGGAATGCTAGAATGTTGCGATGGCACGCTGAAGAGCGTCAACAGGACGGGATGCTGAGACACCCCGCAGATGGTTCGCAGTGGCGAAACATCGACAGAAAATTTAAAGAATTTGGAAAGGACGCACGAAACATACGGTTTGGTTTGAGTACGGATGGCATGAATCCTTTTGGAGAGATGAGCAGCGGCCATAGCACTTGGCCCGTTACGATGTGTATCTACAACCTCCCCCCCTGGCTATGCATGAAGAGGAAGTACATAATGATGCCGATTATTATTCAAGGCCCCAAGCAACCTGGTAACGACATCGACGTGTACCTAAGACCACTGGTCGAAGATCTTAAACAGTTGTGAAAGAAGGAAGGTGTCCCCGTGTGGGACGAGGACAAACAGGAGGAGTTTAACCTACGAGCGCTGCTGTTCGTAACCATCAACGATTGGCCTGCACTTAGCAACCTATCCGGACAGTCCAACAAGGGGTACAAGGCTTGCACTCACTGTATGGATGAAACAGAAAGTACGTATCTTAAGCACTGTAGGAAGGTTGTATACATGGGTCATCGTCGATTCCTTGCAGCAAACCACCCGGTACGGAAGAAAGGCAAGCACTTCGAACATAAGGCCGACCACCGTACGAAGCCTAAACATCGCAGCGGGAAAACAGTGTTTGCTATGGTTAAAGATCTTAAAGTAGTGTTCGGAAAGGGGCCTGGAAGCCAGCATATAGAGAGCGAAGATGGTCACGCGGCGATGTGGAAAAAGAACTCTATATTTTGGGAGTTACCATATTGGGAATTCTTGGACGTACGCCACGCAATCGACGTGATGCACCTCACTAAGAACCTTTGCGTAAACCTTCTTGGCTTCCTAGGTGTATACGGAAAGTCGAAAGATACACTGGAAGCACGTAATGATCTGAAGCATATGGAACAACGCGGCGACCTTCACCCGGAACCAAAGGAGAAAGGAAGCCATTACTTGAGTCCAGCCAGCTACACTCTTAGCAAGGCAGAGAAGGAAAGTATGTTTGAATGCTTGGAGAGCATAAAGGTACCGTCTGGATACTCCACGAATATCAAGCGAATAATAAGCACGAAGGAGAAGAAGTTCACAAACCTAAAGTCTCATGACTGTCACGTGTTGATGACACAACTGCTACCAGTTGTAATAAGGGGTATCCTTCCAGACAATGTCCGGGCAACAATAACAAAGATATGTGCATTCATGAACGCAATTTCGCAGAAGGTCATCGATCCGGATAGATTAGAAGCCCTTCAGAATGAAGTGGTGCAATGTCTCGTCAGTTTTGAGTTGATATTTCCACCTTCATTTTTCAATATAATGACGCATCTGCTTTGTCACCTTGTGAAAGAGATCCGTATTCTCGGGCCTATGTACCTACACAACATGTTTCCTTTCGAGAGGTACATGGGCGTTCTGAAGAAGTATGTTCGTAACCGTGCTCGTCCAGAGGCAAGCATCGCCAAGGGTTATGGAACAGAGGAGGTCATCGAATTTTGCGTAGAATTTATCGAAGACCTTCGCCCAATCGGGGTACCTGAATCACGCCATGAAGGGAGACTACGGGGAAAGGGAACTCTCGGAAGGAAAGCAATAAAGACGGTAGACAACAATTTATTCCGTA